TTAAATTTGGTACATACGTTCTTGTTCTTCAGAGGATGGATCCTACAGACTTTGGTGCCGTAACGCCATAATTTAGCATCAAGAGTTTTAATTTCAAATATTTTGGTTTATGAGCAAATGCTCCACCAATAATGTTACCATCAGCCTCAGCTCTGCTTCATTAATATGGAGAACATGGTAACATTGTAATTATTGGCAATTTAGCATGAGGATTAGCATTAGCTTTTAACTCAAGTACAGCCTCATAGAGACAGTAGCATGACTGTGTAGACTGTCCTGGTAAGTCAATTATTTGGGTAAATTCACATAAATTCTTAATTTGCAATAGGCTTATATTAGAACTATATGATACTAATCTTAATTCTATACTACGATTAGCACTTATAGGCCTATAAACACTTTTCACGATGAACTATTAGTCACAGAATCAGAAAGTCCCAGACAATGTTTTGTTTTCCATTCAAAATCAACTTTTACTTACACTAGCTGTGGGCATATGAGGGCCTCTTCAATACTAATAAGGACCAGTGTGTAAGATTTTGTGGCATCTAGCAGTGTAACGCCCTCACCTCACCCTCCCATTCCAAGCATGTAGGAGAAAATATGGTGGCTGCAAAACCCACAAAAAACACGAAAAAAAGCCCTATCTAGAGCCAGTGTTTGGTTTGTCCATTCTGGGCTACTGTAAAAACATGGCGGATCAACATGGCAGCCTCGGTGGAAGAGGACCCGCTCTCTGTAGATATAAAAAGCTCATTCTAAGGTAACAAAAACACAACAATACTTAAGTTCAGGTGATTATACACTAATAAAAACACATCTATGAATATTATATTCCATTTCTGCCAATAGATCCTACTAAATTTTACACACTGGACCTTTAATAACTGACTCTCAATGGCAAATTCACAATTATCTAATGATTAACAGACGGCTTGGAAGAGATGGTTATTGTGTCGTCAAACAGATAGCAGGCAGAAAAGAGACAAAGCTGTATTTAAAGCTTGCAATTTGCAACTGCATTTAAACAATAAAGCCAATACTATACATAAAACTACCATACAATCAAATTTCACATCCATGTTATTTAAAATGTTCCCCTTTCTCTGTCAGCTCCTGACTTGATAGGCACGTGTTTAAAAGTATATACAAAGTATTCAAAGGAAATGTAGGTAATTTCACACTCAGACACTCATTGCATTGTAATCATAAAATCAGTATAAACAACAACAAAAAAAGTTTGATTCATTAGATTTCACAAACACACGCAGACGCTGAATTGTATAAAATATCACTGACAACTCATGTAGGCCGTTTATAGTGTCGAGAACTGACGCTTGCAGACGTGCTCTCAGCTTCTTGAGGCACCGTTGATATAAAAGTGGAAGGTGCATGCACAGCTTTACTGTCAGTCCTATAAAGAGAGTGTAAGCACATTTTATTACATGATACGAAAGGCTAAGATGAACATCCAAGTATTTTTTTTTTTTATATGAAGCCCTTTATCTACAGAACAGCTTCCATCACATCTGTTCTCTCGGCAGACATTCATCGAGGCCTTTCGGCCACTTTGGGTCTTGGTTTTAATCCAAAAGTCTGTGTTTCGCGTTCCAAAACAGCACCGCTGTCCAGAGAAAAATTCCACAACAACCTCCACAAATGTCAGGTTTGTCTTTCAAATTAAGGTCTTTGGGAAGAGGCTGTGGCACGATGTGATGCCCACGACTGCTTATGACTTTTACCGTGTAGACAAAAATCTCATCCATAGAAAAACAAGTGATATTTTGTTGTTCTCAGACAAGTTTGTGTTAAAAGATTCCAAGCTTCAGTTGACTTTAAAGATGCTGAAGATGTGAGGCGAGGCTGAAGGATTGCCCACAGTGTGGAGTCTGAAGGCCGGGCCTGTGATGGCCTGCAGCTCCGTGCCTCTGTCCAATCGCAGGAGGCCGGACACCTGGCAGGGCTTCAGGAAGTGGAAAGGGTGCGGCCCGGCGGAGGGGGTCGTCCCGTAACCCTCCATGCACTGCAGCTTCTGAGGCCTCTGGCCGCTGGTCACCACATCCAGCTTCACATACTGAGACTGTTGCTCATTGAACAAAACCTGAGGAGACACAGAAGATGATCTTCATCTCATCAAGGGAGGTCAGCAGAGACAGAAGGAAAACTTTTTTCGTTTCAACTATCCACAAGAAACGTGTATTAAGTGTACAAGTGAGTGTATTAAAACTTCCAAAGTCCTGCTATCGGAATTCTTTCTTTCTTTTTTTTGGCTAGATTTTCTCCAGACCTCCGTCAACTTGACAAGAGGCCTGGCTACATGAGATTACCCGAAACCTGATATCCACCTTTCCAAAAAACATGATACACACCAGTACAGTATGACTGATGTTTGAGCAAAATAAAGGCTGTTTTTATAAAGCTGCAATAGGTCAGAAAACTGGTGTGGAGCTACATCCCAAAACTCTAACTGAATGAACTGAATGTTGGTTACTGATAAAACAATCATGCGTCCTTCAATACCTATCACATTGAGGAATATTAAAATTCAATTCCAATAACAATCCATTTTCCATTTGACATTCTGAATCAGTGGTTTTGTCTTAACATAAACAGTGCCAATATTGAGTACCTGACTTACACTCACTAATATTTTGGTAAGAATCTGCTATATTTTAAAGGTGTTATATGATGACATTAATTTCCAAGATAAATATATGACATTGTGAGATTTAAAGCAGCATTTTTTGGCCACTTGGGGGCAGCAGAACAAGCTCTAAACACAACACTGACATATTGTCGCCCTAGAAAGTTGTTGTGGCAAACAATATTAGCATTCATTTAGAGGTGTGTTTCTGGCCACCTGCTGAATATAAGTTCAACATTCACTCTACTTTTAGCTCTGTTTTGGTCTCCACCAACTCCTTAGTGAAATTCATGGCTTTTTATCTCCGCTGTGTTCATCAGTTAGTTGCTTACTGTGTTTGTTAGGTATTCTGAAGCTGAAAACAGCTGCCTGCTGCTTCTAGATAATTCTCTCTTGCCACTACAAGCAGCTCCTTCAATATTACACATATTCATTTTATCCATCGTTAATATGAAAATATTGATTAGTTCAGCTTTAAAGTGGAGATCTGACATTAATGTGGCGTGTGGGGAACGTGAGGATGACGAGAGTGATGTTGGTGTCGTTTGTAGTCAAACACGGTCAGAAAACTACAACTCCCAGCAAAAACTCACCTGGCAGAACAGGAAGTAGACGCCTGCTTTCTCCACAGTGAAGGTGCCTTGTTCCTTGTTGTACCTCACTGCTTTACTCATATTCAACGTCCTCTCCTCCCAACCCTTTATCACTCCGCCCTCTCCCACTGACACACACACACACACAAACACACATATATCCAAGATTAATCATCTCATAGACAAGAGTTTCACAGATTATCCTCCATCCTTCATTTTTATGACCCTTACCTTGCTGAGAGGAGACTTTGGTTACTGGTGGAAAGTAAACGAGACATTCAAAGAGAAAGAAAAGGGAAAGTCAATTAAGATTTTATGAGTGCAATCGTATAGGGGTATATGATTGAAACCACTTCAGCAGATGCTACACGAGACTGCTATAAGGGATCTGCCAAGCCACTTACTCTCAAAATGAGACGCCGCTTTCTTTCCATTTCCATTCCTCCCTCGCACCGTCCCCCCTTCGGAAGGCAAGGAGAGACAGAATATGAGTTTGAATGGCAGAGAAAATACGTCTGTGGTTTTTTTGATAAAACAATCATTCCCATCTGTATCTGTCTAATAACATGGTGTGTTAATTTGCAGCCATTTAGATTCAACCTGGCTCGTTTTAATGCGGTTAGCAGATGGGCAAAGGATTTCCTTTCACGTGCTTCAATATATTTCCTCAAACTGTTATTTTCAGTCAGAAGTGTGTGCCTGTTTTTTTTTTTTTTTTCCTGTGGGGGCTAATCTTAGTGCCAGCTGGTCGCAGTCATCTAGAAAATACAGAATGCAGAGAAAGAAGAGGCAAGAATAGAGTTGAAGGGGGATGGAGAGCTGTGTGTGTGTGTTTGTCTTGTGGAGGGGGGCAGGAAAGGACAAGATAGACAGAGGCAAATTGAATGAGAAAGCATTAAATGTAGCCTGAGAGACAAATGCTAAGAACGCTTAATAAGAGAAATGAAGTGCCGGAAAAGGAGAGTCAAAAAGGTCCTTGGCTGCTCTGTGACCCAAAAGAGTCGATTAAGAGCAGAGTGAAGCAACAGCTAAGGGGCCTGTTCGGATAAATACAATAAATAAAACACAACACTAAAAGGCCAGAGCTCCAGAATGCCTGCTCTTGTTACTCTCTAAAGGTTTATTTAACTTTGCAATCTGGCCTGCGGGGAGCAATTTCCAACACAGATACAACCCCAATACTGTACATATGAACTGTGAAATACGTGCTTTATGTTTCGAGACGGAGCAGCCAAACACCGGGCCTCCGCCATCATACAGGAATATTAAGTCCCTGCTAAAATAACTCACAGGTGGGTGACCCTGTAGACTTAGGATTTGCTATGGGCGGGCGTAAAGCCCTCAGGCTAGCCAGAGTTTCCTGACTTAAGCTGTCAGTCATCGGGAGAGAACATAACAGCAGTGTCCTGCTGAAACGCTGCACTGCGGTGGTCAACTTTCCACAAACTGGAAAAAGCTGTTTGTGCGTCTTTTTTCCCCCCATTGATAGCCATGAATTTCTGAACACTGTTTAATGCGTTTTGGAAGACAAAGTAAGATATCAGTTACACATGAAAAAAAGCTCATATCTGCAGGATATCAATATAGATATTCTGGCAAGGGTCGCAGCTCTCTAAATGAATCCTTTTGTCAAATTTGGATATTCATCCGTCTGCTGAAATCCAGCATGAAAACGTCTGAGGGTTCATTCTCGGACAAAATGTGAACAATCAAGCAATCCCGTGATGGTGACGCAAGCAGAGGCTATAAATACTGCAATGATAGGTCATCAAATATCACCGCTTTCACAACAAATCATAGCTGTGTCAGTCGTGTGCTCGGGGGGGGGGGAAAAAAAATCTCAATTTCATTGCCCAAAAGCGTGCAACAAGGCCTCCCTCCCGCGCCAGCTGGTTTTCTGGGCTTCGAGGCCGTTCTGGTCAGACCTGTAATTTCTGAAACAGTCATCCAGCTGCCTACTTTTTCCTGTGTCAACTTTTAGCAGCGGGTAGTGCCTGCGGCCCACTAGACCTGACCAAAGTGGCATGTGGGCCAAGACTGGCCAGCGTTTGTGTTAAATGTCCTTCCCGACAAAAAAAAAAAATGTACAAAAAAAAAAATACCAACTGAGCACAGTTGGTAAGTATTGTGTCTGTGGTGATTTGGGGGCGGCTAAAAAGCAGAAAACTTCTATATGTCGGTGGTGTTGAAGACTAGAAAATGCAGCTGTGGAAGACTTTTGATTTGCAATACCGTCTCTTTTCACTCTTTGCCCCACAAGCAGCTCTCTCTTCTCCAGAATGAGCTGAACAATGGCCTTCCTCTGTGTATTGACCTGTTGAAAGAGAGAGAGACAAAAAAAAACGCATGATTAACAAATGCCCAATAAGCTTATTATGACTTTTTGCTGGCACTGATCCCACGCAGCCACAGACGGCCTCTTCCAGCCAGCCAGCCACATAAACAGGCTCGTCTTTTCCAGTATCCTGCCACTGCTGCCATGCTAGCTTTAGAATGGGTCTACCACTTCCTCAGAGACTGGTTGCGACACCTAATGCATGTTTTTAGTGCTTTGCATTCCTCACATGTCTTTACTCCCTTTCTGAAAAAGAAATGAATTTTGTCAAGCCAGCAAAGTTTTAAATCCTTGGCTGGGGGCCCGCTGAATGACCGAAGGAGGCCTATGTGAAGTAAGAGGAGAAGTGGCTGCAGTGTGTTTAAATTTACTGCTACTGTGGAAATGAAGGCAGCGAGTTGCTCTTCACTCTCCAGACGTTCACTCACTGGCTCTCATCAGGAGTTGGCCAACGGTCAAATGGACAGAACGGGGCCCCTTGGGAAAGGCTCCAGCATCAACACTCCACGTGTCCAATTTTGGGGTGTTTGTGCATGTGTGTGTGTCTGAGTGAGAAACTGTGTGTGTGCAGGTCTGTCAACATAATACACAGCCAACCTGTCCCTGATCTCAAATCCAGTGCAACCTGGTTTTGTAAATACTGTGAACTTGAAACCAGAAGAATTTCCATCAGCTCCTTTTGGCTGCTTTTTAGAGAAATGATTTGCCTTGTGATGCAACCTCATGCCGGAGCCTAACATTTGCTGCAAGTGCAAGAAGTTTAAAACTGCACTTTGCATGAAATTATACAGTATTCAGGACTGTTCTGTGCACATTTAACTCCAGACTGAAAGGATCCAACCCCGACCTGTGCATGAGAAGTGGCTATGCATGCTGCAAATAATGTACACTTGCCACACTTTATCATCCAGCCTGTTTCATGCCTCAAGCCTCTGCGCAGTGAAGTGCTCACATGCCAAATAGCTGAGGCTTTCCAGTAATTTGAGATAAAACTGGAGCACAACTGGCAC